AAGACTATATATAACGCCGGGAGGTGGTGGCGCACGCCTTTAATCCCAGCACTCGGGAGGCAGAGGCAGGTGGATCTCTGTGAGTTCGAGGCTGGGCTGGACCGATAGCCTCCGAAACAATACAGAGAAACCCTGTCTCGAAAAACAAAAACAAAAAAAAAAAAAGACTATATATAAGGCAGGAGTTTATGTGTTACATGTATTGAGAAAGTTTTATGCATCCATACCAAATAAATAGGGATGATTCTAAGGTAGAAAATAAAGTGGTAGGAATAAAGTATTTTCCTGTGTGTGTTCAGCACACTTGAATTTTTACAGAGAATTGTATTTTACCTTAGAAATTGAATCGTGAGCTTGGTAGTGACACACACTTATAATCTGTCACTCAATAGGGCTAAATAGGAAGATTATGTGTGCAAGACAGGCTTGAGACACATAGTAACTTCCAGCCCTGCCTGGGGTATCTATTGAGAGTCTGACTCAAATATAACAAAATATATTTAAACATTTCTGATTGCATTATGAAAGTAAATTAGAGAGATGGTGGCAGTTCTGCAGTAGAAAATTGCTGAGGGCTGTGCAATGGTCTAATTTAAGAGGAACATTCATGAAGATTTTATATTTTGTGGTTCTTGGATGGCTTATTCATGTCATCAGAGTTATTGCAGTTGTCCAGGTAAAAGAGGCTAAGATTCCAAAATACAGGAATGATGACTAGAATGAGGGGATTTTGCAAAAATGTAAGAGTAGGGTAGAAAGTAGGCAAAACTGAGCTAGCTCATAGGAAGACAAGCAGATGAGGGGGTGTGGATAATGAATTAGGCTACTGTGTCAATCTATGAGAATCCTCTTTGAAGCTGCCTAGTCGGTGGTTTTCAAGAACAGGCTGTGCCCTGATAGTCTCTTGTATTTACATTTTAAATCATTATTGTTGATAATTACAATGATCGAAGGAAGAAGCTTAAATATGGACTCCCAGGGCCCACTAATATGTAGTGAGTGAACATAGCGCCTGGAGCCAAAAAGATGCCTTGGAGGAGCTGTGTTCCTCATTCCAAGGATGATGATGATATGAATGGCCAGTAGTGTCATATTCCATAACTTGTGGCAGGACACAAATATGGAAAGGTAGGGTGCAGCATTAAGATTCAGGAGAGTGGGTTGTGGTTGAGAGCCCTCTAGTGGAGGGGAGCGGGGTGTTGAAGGGCCTGGGAGCAGCTCTTAGAAACTGAAGTTCAGAAAGGTATTATGAATGGGGCCTCAAGACTGTTTTCACCTCCTTTGGATACAAGGGGCTTACTTTCTCACTGGGAAGAAATTATTCAGGGGTTCTTTTAGTCAGTGTAATTAAACTATATGTAAATTTGTCTTTGCTTCTGCCCTCCCAGAGATAGAAAGGAGGAAGTTTTTGAAGAGCTGAACATTTTATAGAGATTTTCTTCCACAGCGTGGAGGGAGTGTGAGGGAGTTTTTGTCCCAAGGGAAGTACCAGAACTGACAAGCAGTAAAGAGAAGCTGCAGGGCCCTGAATGCCACGTCCACAGAGCTTCCAAGCCATCCTGAAAGGTGGTCAAGGACCCTTGAGAAAAATCATTTCCAAGTGTGACATTTGCTGTTTATCCATCTGTTTTGCAATGCCCCTTCTGGAAAACGGCTTGCTTTATTGGTTATTTTCTGCATTTATTGTCTGAGTCTGAGGTGAGTGAGGAGGACAGCCTGTGTCACTTGCTCCTCCCTTTGCTTATTAAATTCATAATTACACAGAGAGAAAATTGTGTGATGGCGTGTTTTCAAGTTGGTCACATGAATTGCAGACAGAAGGCACAAACTATAATATTATGTCAAAATCCAGAAATTACAACATTTATAGAAAAATTAAGGATGCTTTAGAGATAGAAATGTAGGAAAAGTTTACAATTTTAGATTTATAGTGTGCACCTGTAAACTTTTGATTATATAGGTACAAATGTAATGCAGGGCATATAAGATTATATATTCATAAAAGTATGTACCTTCTGATTTATATCAATGGTATATTTACATATTAATATACATTATGTCTACTTTTTAGGTTTTTTTTTTTAATTTTTTGAGACAGGGTTTCTCTGTAGCTTTGGAGACTGTCCTGGAACTTACTCTGTAGACCAGGCTGGCCTCAAACTCACAGAAATCCACCTGCCTCTGCCTCCCAAGCGCTAGGATTAAAGACGAGTGTCACCACTGCCCAGCTGCTACTTTTCAAATTTTAGGAACTTGTAGGGACCTTTTTAAATTTTAAGTATGTACAGTAGGTGATAACTTATAAAGTACAGACACCCACTTTCCACATCAGTAAAGAGCATCACTAGATGCCACATAAACCTTCATCCTCAACCTTTTCTTTTCCTACATGGGTACCAGTATGCTGATGTGCATCCCTATAGATGTATACAGTCTGGCTTTTATATGTCTGGTGTTTGAGAAGCAGCATTGTTTCTGTGAGGTCTGCCCACATGGGTACATATACTAGTAGTTTATCCTCTTCCTGTTGCTATGGCAGTCAGAAGTAGAAGACACAGCTCTCACAGTGTATGCATTCTGCAGCTGCTGACTGTTTTGGCTTTTAAGCCAGGGACTGCTCTGTGTATTGCTCATTTATGAGGCTTCTGATGCATGTCTTTTGAGTGTTTGCTGGATAAGACCTCATTCCTGTGGGCTGTATACTCAGAGTTCGCCTTTTTTGGATACTGTCCATCTGCTTCTGAAAATAACCCTGCAATATATTAATTCCATGGTCGTACTAACACTAAATATTAATGGCTTGTTGTTGTTAGATTAGTTTGAGGGTTTTTGTAACTTTTAAAAAAACATTAAGTTTAAATGAATAGCTATATTTTGTCATGAAAATAAATATACTGTAATTTGACATTCTTTTGATGGTCTTTTGCCACCTCTGACACAGCATGGGCAGCTAGCTCTCCTACCTAGTGGTCTCTGTAGTTCATTCTCTGTGTGTTCTGATGTGAGGAAGATTTAATATTAAAGAGAATCTCGTCCTTTAAAAAAGAAAGATGTTGAACTAGTGAGATGGCTCAGTTGGTGCCTGACAACCTGGGTTTGATCCTTGATACCCTGGATTTGATCCCTGAAACCGACATGGAAGAAAAGAACTGACTCCCACACCTTTGACCTTGTGCACTGGATACACACACACACACACACACACACACACACACACACACACACATACGTACGTACGTTAAGAAGAAAAGTAAAAGTTTTTAGTCAGAGAACTTTCCTTCATAGTCTTCCTTTTAGCTTCTCCTCCCATGTTTTTAATAGTCTCCTTCTAACAGGAGTTGCTAAGGATCTGAAAAACCCTGAGGCCTTGCTTTTTAGTTAACATTTGATAATGTCATGATAGCCCTGCTTCCTGTTGAACACAGCTGTTAGCACAGTGGTTTTGGTGATGCCCAGTTGGCCACAGTTGGTATCTTAACCCTTTGGAGCAGTGCTTCTCAACCTTCCTAATGCTGTGACCCTTTCATACAGTGACCTCCAACTTAAATTTATGTCATGAAGCTGAGTAGTGGTGGTGCACCCCTTAAATCCCATCACTTGGGAGGCAGAGACAGTTGGATCTTTGTGAGTTCAAGGCCAGACTGGTTTACAGAGTGAGTTCTAGGACAAGCTCCAAAGCTACAGAGAAACCCTGTCTCAAAAAAAATTGCTTCATTGCTAGTTTTTAACTGTAGTTTTGCTACTGTTAGGAATCATAGAACCACTGCTTTGGATACTTAGAGTTTTTTTATTCAGTCATTGCTAGATGACCTTTTAGAAATACATTGTTTTTGTTTTTCGTTTTTTTTCTTTTTCTTTGTCTTTTTTTCATCATTTCTCTGCTTTTCTCATTTGTATATTAGGTTTCTAAGAATATAATGACCAGGCTCAGAGGTTTAGAGCACTGACTTCTCTTCCAGAGGTTCTGAGTTCAATTCCCAGCAACCACTTAGTGACTCACAACTATCTGTAATGAGATCTGGCACCCTCTTCTGGCATGCAGGCATGCATGCATGCAGGCAGAATACTGTATACATAATAAATAAATCTTTAAAAAAAGAATATAATGACCAGAATGACTGTGTGATTCTTAAAAGTTGTAGAACATTCTTTTGACTTTCATATGTGCATACCATCCACATCTCTTAAGTAATTGCTGTCAAGAAGCTCTTAGTGAGAGCAGAGAACTACTGTTGTGTAGTCTGTTCTGTTGGGAAGGGACAGTTGTGTCTGGAAGCCAGCTTAAGCTACTGAGCTTTCTTCAGAGGTCACATTGTAACCGAAGTCCACCAGTTTGTGCACTCTTACTTCTCTCTCTACTAATGGAGAAGGATATAAGATGCTTAAATGAATTAGCAAGTAGCCAGAAAGCTTACTGAAGACAGTGTTCAATGACCTTTCCTAGTGTCAATACTAAAAAATAAAACTTGCTGACTAGATCTTTCTGTCTCACCATATCTGTTAAAGTCTCAGTCTCTCTCTCTGTCTCTCTCTCTCTGTCTCTGTCTCTCTCTGTCTCTCTCTCTCCCTCCCTCCACTCTTCCCCTCCCCTCCATCTCCCCCCTCCCTCTCTCCCTCTCTTCCTCCAGGGTTTCTTGTGTAACAGCCCTGGCAAATATTTCATTCTTAACTAGATGTACTAGATGTACTAGATGTAGAATGTAGGTCTGACAAGTAGTGTTACTTAGGGATCTTCTTAGTATCTCATAGTTACAGACTCAGTTTGCAGATTAATTCTAGAAGCCACTATAAATTCTTTGTTGATTAAATGTTTTGACTTCTCATAGATAATTTCTATGTCTTAGTCATTGTGGTCAGGCTACTGTTAGGGAGTTGTCTCAAATTGTACATTCCTCACACAGTCGAGTAGACTCAGCACCGAGTTACTAAAACCGCCAGAGCCCTCACTGACTTGACTATGATTTCAGACTCTACCAAAAACTGTCTTTCTTTCCCTGTAGGCATCAGTCAGAGCCGGATCTCTCATTGGCTGTTACAACAGGGGTCAGACCTGAGTGAGCAGAAGAAAAGAGCATTTTACCGATGGTATCAACTTGAGAAGACAAACCCTGGTAAGTACTTCTTTTATTTATTGTACCTAAATGAAAAGCATAATTATTTCATTGAATCCATGTACTAATTTGTTCAAATAAACTGTTTCATGTGTTAGTGTCTTCGTTTATGCAAGTAGGCAACTGTAAAGCCTAATGCCTGGTGGTAATTATGTTTAGGGGTCTGTTTCATGGGCTGGTTCACCTTCCTGTCAGCCACCTCCTGGCTTCCAGATTAGGTGATTTTCTTAGGTGCAGCTTGATAGAATGGTCATGATACCAGAGGCTGGCTCTCTCTTCAACTTTGATTGTACAAATAAAAGTTACCCTTTTTAATTTTTGGAACAATATTTTGTTAATTGAAATGTATTTAATATTTTATTGAGTTCATTATGTGTCCTCCCAATGATCTTTCCTTATGGTTTTGTAGTTTTAAGGCTTGTGACCTATGTAGTAAATACATTTTGGAGTTTTAAGGTGCAGCTTAAAAAGATGGTGAAAATCTTGGTGCCTGAAGTTGCCACGAATAGGCAACATTTATTCCAAGATATTTTTAACAAGTGCTAGATCAAGAAAAATATGATGTCATGGGAGTGGCTGTCTCAGGCTGCATGTTACACAGGTCCTGGTAGTGAGCCTAGTCTCAAGTATGCTGTTACCATTGAGATGCCTTCTGCATAAAGCCTGCAGGCACACCAGGTGACGTGTTGCATGCAACAGCACTATCTCAGCCGCAGATACAGAGTACGGCATGGAATTGCCTTTGAGGGTATGTGTATGGTAAGTTTTGTTTGTTTTGTTCAACAATTACATTCTCAACCCAAAATGCCCTGGTAAGACAAAGAAAAATAGGAAGTATCAATCTATACAAAGAATTTCTAGGACCTATTCTCCCCCATTTTCTCTTTTGAAAGACCAGCAAGGTGTTCAATTACTTAGTTACCTTATTATATACAAAACTTTCTGAATATTTTGCTATATTTGCTAATAATTTTAAAGATGTATTTGTGTGACATGTCCTAATAATGAGAGTAGTTTCCTACATAACCAGAGTCTCCATTGTCATACTTAAGAAAATGAATACTTCCACAATTACCCAGTCCTTTATCACATCTCTCTGTTAACAAAAGTATCTTGTATAGCTCAGTATCTGTTCCCCACCCAACCCACTTTCTCCCCCTCTCCTCTTTTAATAAGCTATATTAGTTTTAGGTCAGCAAATTAGAATGTTTCCCTAGACTCTTAAATTGCCCAAAATTTTTATTTTTTAATGATGTAAACTTTTAGATCTTGTTCTTTTGCAGAATGTCCCATATTGAAGATTTTTATGAACTGTTCACTTTTACTTCTAAAGGACTTAGTCCTTATCTTCTGTATTGCCTGTACAATAGGAGTTCAAATTAAGGGTTTCTTTAAATCCAAGTTGAATGTTTTTGCCAAGAACAGTGCATAGATTTTTTTTAGGGGTCCCTGTTGTAATGACTTAAGTTTACATTGAGGTGCAGCAAAAGTGAAATGAATTGATCGGGAAATGCATGGTAGGTATAGGGGAATATTAAGTAGTACAAGTATGTTATTTTTCTCAGTAAAGCATTAGGTGAAAATACTATAATTAATGTGAATTTCATGTTGCCACATGTCATGAGATGTCAAGTGCCGGCACTATTCATGTGCTATATTTGATGGCACTATTAAGATGGAGCTAGATCTGTGCTCTGTGTTTTTAACTAGTCTTTGTTACACTTTTGCTATGGGGTGAGTACTCTGTGCTGTGCTGGATGGTCTCAGCATTTCTTGAAGATCCTTGTTCAGTCAGAGGCATTTATAATTAGATCATCTCATTCATCCTTCCTTCAGCATTTATCAGCTTAATTTTATGCTTTCGTATTTTCTAGAAATGTCTCAAAGCATAATCAAATCTTTTGGAAAAACTACTTCTATGCTTATTACTGTTACATATTCCAAGGCAACACCATTCACAGGGGAGATGAAATGCAAATGACATGTAGTTTCATATTTTCTAGCAACCATATTTCAGAAAGAAACAGTGAAAATTCAGAGTATTTATTTGTTAGCACGTCACTTCATTGTTTAATTTCCATTTTGAAAACTGAAACATTCCCACTCCCTGCTTATTTCTTGTCCAGATTCTTTAGACATCTGTATGTATTTTACACCTACAACACAATTCCCAACCAACTACATTTCAAGTGTCTAGTTGTCACGTATGACTGGTGCGTCCATATGAGGCCAACACAAATATAAGATATTCTTGAAGCAGCCCATCAGACCTGATCTAAGCAGTCTCCCACAGTTGAGTTTCCTTTTCCTGGGATTCACAGCAAAGCCACTGGTTCACAACAATGCTAAGTGGATAGAGAAGGAAGGACACTTGGTATGTGGTATGCTTCATAGAGTAGCCTAGGCTGACAGCAAGAGTTGAGTTGGGTGAGTGAGGAGAACTGTTTATCCCTAGGACTTGGTACCTAGGACAGAATTAGCATAGAGACTGATCATGGTTCTTGAGGCTGAATTTCCACACTGGGGTTTTAGGTCGTACTCAGCTTGGGGCAGGGTAGAAACTGTTGACATAATTACTTCACTAACAAAAGAAAGACAGCTTCAGCAGCATTACTAGGCTGAGCTGGTGGTTCTGCTCATTGCAGACACCCACTGTAAGAGTCCAGCTTGCCACCTTGGAATGATTTTATTTTTGTTTTTAATCTTAATTCACATTTAAATGTGTCTTGGAACCTGAGCTAGGCCCACCCAGCACTAAGACATTGAAGGAAGTTGCAATGTAGGGCACCCAGACGGGAGGCATGGGGAAAGACAGACACACTCATGGGAAGCAACCCTCTTGCACAGGCCATACCTCATTTGAAGAGTGCGTGCCCCTGTGTGTGTACATGGGCTTTTTTGCATCGCTGCCTCCTTTGTAGGAGCTCTTTTTGTTTAAAACCCCAGTCTGTACTCATTCCCTTCAATTTTTTTTCTGTATGTCATAACTTAAAAGTATTTTTTAAAAAAGTTAAGTTCCTAAATGTCAAATGGTAGTTTTGTTATACTTGCAATAGTTGAATATATTCATCAGAATGTAAGTTTCTCCTTTGTCTTTTCACCTTTAATGTAAAGAAGTAATATAGCATAGGATCCTTCCTGGATGTATCAGTGCAGCTTTGCTGACATTAAAATAGCCTTTGGGTTTGCCTAAAGGATGATATTCCCTCTTCTGTGGGTACTTTGGAGTTGCTGTTCTTTTTGAATACAGTGTTGCACCTAAGACTAGGTTCTCTTCTCTCTGCCTGCTATATAGTTGCTTGGAGTGCCTCACATTCTTTGCAAGTCATTAGAATCACCTGATTGAGAACTGGTTAGCTTCTCTACAAGAGAATATTGTAGAACTGTATAGTTATTTTTAATGTGTATTGTGTGCACATTACACAAGTGAATGCAGTGAAACATGCAGTGAAACAGCATTCAGATGTTAAAAATGTAAGATATGCAACAATAAATACTACATTACTATCTGTATGCAGAGAATATGCGTGCGTGAGCACACAGACACATACACACACACACAGAGGCAGTTTAGATTATGTAAGTGTGGAAGTTGTCAGGAATTCTCACTTAGGAACCTGTATGAGCAGTTCTGAAGAGGTGCTGGTAGTAAGGGGAGAAGTAGAAGGACATAATTATATAACCTCTGGGTCTTTTTTAATTTTGTGGTGCTTGGGATTTGACCCAGGGCCTTGTGCATGCAAGGTAGGCATTTTACCATTGAACTGTGACCCTTCTGTGGCTTTCTGAATTTTAGACCATGTAGTCTGTATTTGGAAAATGCATATAATATGAAATGGAAAGAGGGAGGGAGAAAGATGTTACAATAACAAGAGAAGAGCTCATTTCCTGAAATGTGGTCCCACGCCCTATCTGAAGCAGTGTATAGAAAGTAAGCCCTGAGTAAGTTTATTAGGAGGTAATTTACTGATACAATACCCTTTGCTCTGCCCAGTAAACAAGTGATCAGGAGAAATGTAAATAGCATCGTTTTTTTACATACATTCCAAGAAGAAATGTAAAATTGAGGCAAACCACAGGATGAAAAGCTGACTTCTGTTTTCTGATATAGAAATCACTGGCAAACAGACGGCTGTATTTGTAGATTCTTTGCTTACTCTTCTCCTTCATGGACTTTGGTTGCATTCCTCGAGTGACCTCTTTTCAGCCTCCTGTCCATTCAGATTTTTATAAGGTCTCTTTTTACAAGGTTTTCTTTACCTGAACACAGCAAGGGAAAAAATAGGGTTATTTTGACTGATAATCCAGTATCTATAGGTATAATCAGAATTTCCTAGCATGTCCCAAAGCCTGCTAAGACTTCTCAATAACCAAGTTGATGGAAACTAATCGTATGCACTTTATCTTGTTTCTTATGATATTTAAAAGAAAATGCCTGTTTTCTTAAAGAACAGAGTGCTTAAATTCAGCATGTTTGCTGTGAGAAATTTTTCTTTATTAATTCAGATGAAGCTCCACAGTCTTTTCTCTTGTCTGACTCAATCATTATTATGGTAGGCAGGGTTTGTGGGGTACCTGCAGGCTTGAGATACTTACCTAATCCTGCAGACTTCACATTTAACACAGTCTGATTGGAGGGTTGTGTATAGTGCACATGAAGTAAGTCATTGTCAGGTCAGAAGAAAACACCCATTCCTCTCATGTAGTGTGCCAGAATTCCAGAAAATGTGTGTGGCATGAGAGAAGATGAGAAAGACTTGGGAAAAGTCATTTTCCATGTCTGTGGATGGAGTATTAATGGCCTTTTTCTATTAGCTGATTATAGGTACTCGCCCAGTTCTAACCCGGTACACAAGATACTCTTGTCTACAGGAGAACACTCACTAAAAACTTACAATTTAACAGTAAATTGTAAAAGTGGTGTTTTTTTCTTCATGGGCTGAGATTTGTCAAGTGGAGTACAAAATTTTGTTTTAATGTGAACTAAGGTGTAATGTGGAGAAGTATTACTATAAAGAATTAAGTTACATGTAAGTGCAGTTCTTAATTGGTCTAGATAATAAAAACCCAGAGTCAAATATAGAGAAAAATGCTGAGAGATCAGAGAGAAGGAACAAGCCACTGCTGCACATTACCTACTTCATGTCTCAGCGACAAGAGAGTGAGTTCCTGTTTCTCCTTACTTATATCCTGTTTCCGCCCAGCTAGCTCACTTTCTGTACCAGACCTCTATGGTTAGCTAGTGGCAAGTTCTATTCTCTGATCTTCAGACAAGCTTTCTTTGTACAAGAAAGATATTACCACTGTCACACATAAATGAGTCCTTGGGCTTTTCTCCAGCACAGAATTCCTGTATCACTGCAGTTAAGTTTTAAGGCTCGTTCTCACTATTCCCACATTCTAGTTTCTTTGCATTGTTCTGTCAAAGTCAGTAATTTTGGTCCCATTCCTATAAAATTCACTGCTCCCTGTCTGTCTGAACTAAAACGAAGTGGACAGTACTAGAGAAAATCTGTATTCATTCCAGAATGCTTCATGTGCCATCTTTTCTTGTGTTTTCCTTTTACCAAGAGAGCACTTCTATTGTACATTGACTGTCCATGTCCTTCAGCCTCTTAGGACTCTGCTGTCTATTACTTTTCATGCCTGGACCACATTACCTACCTACAAGTACATGCCGTAGTTCTAAGAGTGCATTTTGGAGTTGACTGATCTGTTGTTCTCTTCTCCCCCGTCCCTGCTACTCTGAAACTCTTCATCCCTTCACTAGAGCAAGCCTGGAGTAAGAGAACCCATGGCCTTATCTATTCTATTTCTGCCTTCTTCTTGGACAGCTGTAATGTTAGTTAGGTTGGCTGTTTTGGACATTTTCTTTCTGGAACAAAATTTGTATAATTTTAATTATGTAGATTCTTACTCTAAACTCATGGCCATACTGTAATCCTTGCTTGCATTGGGGAAAAAAAAATAGGAGACTTTGAACCAGGTTATTTTGACAAGCTTTTAAAATTTTTTAAAATTTATTTATGTGCATGAGTGTTTTACCTGCATGTATGTCTGTGCACCATTTATAAGCCTGGTGTCCACAGAGGCCAGAAGAGTCCTTCAGATCTCCTGAAACCGAAGTTACAGACAGTTGTGAATCACCAGGTGGGTGCTGGGAATTAAACCTGGGTCCTCTGGAAGAGCAGACAGAGCACTTAACCATTGAGTCCCCAAGCCGTTTTCTCAAACCCATTGACCATAATATAAAAGTTTCAAACTTACTGGTTTTAATGGAAGAGATTCAAGTCTACTGGCCTGGATACAAAAGATTCACACTCATTGGCTGCATGGAAAAAGCTTACAAGCTTAACTTCATGTAAATTAAGATAAAAATATACCATAAAGATACAAATAAAATAATACAGATGACAAATGAAACAATAATTACAGCTATGTGACTAGTAATTGATGTTGCATCTTAGATAAAATCTATAGCTCAACAGAAAAAGGACCCTAAACTAACAAAAGATAGATGGTAGTAAACAAGAAAGATGCTCATCTTTATTAGTAGTAAGGTATTTTATCATCATTTTTTAGTAGTAAGGTATTTTATCATAAAGGTATTTTTTCTTCCAAATTGGTGCATTTTAGTAAGTAATATGCTTAATGTTTGGCGGATGTGATGAAATAACAGCTGGAGATGGTTCTGTTGTATATTAATTATCTGCTATGATACAAACCAAGCTACATTTTTCAGCTTAGCACAACAAAGATTTATTTTCTGTTTCCATAGACCAGGAATCCAGGAGCAGTGTCCTCATGAGCTTTTAGTCAAGCGTCAGCCAGGGCTGAAGTCACTGGAACTGGATGGTCCACTTGCAAGGCCACTCACATGTGTGCTGGCTGTCCCTGTTCCTTACTGTCTCGTGGTCAGAGACAGCAGTTCCTCAAGAGCCCCGTCATCCATTCTCACCTAGTAATTCCTCCCTTGAGCAAGTGATCTGAGAAAGAAAGCAAAGAAAGATGCCCTAGTGTCTCAGTTCTTGACGAGACATGCTCTCACTGCCACATGCTGTGCTCACATCTAGTCATGAGTATAGAATGAGCAAGCACCACAGAAAGAAAGGCACAGCTACCAGGAGGCAAGGAAGGACCCATGGAGCCCTTGGGGGCTGGCTACCAACATGCCTTTATTGGGACTAGATGTCTGGGTATTTATTTCTCTGTGTTAGCTGGGTATAGAAAGATCTACATGATGTATATTGTGGCTTAGTGTACAAGATAACTTTGTCACTCCACTGTCTGGTGCTCGGGTAGAATGGCAGAAACACCTGGAGATCAGGGACATCTTTCACTCTATGCAGACTTTCTTTCCACATGGCTAGTGTGTGGGGTTGATCTTACTTCTTTTTTGTCGTTTGGGGGGCGGGGCAATAGTAAGACCAGTAGCTAAAGGTCAGCCTAAGCAACATAACATGCATAGTATGACCCTATCTCAGAAAGTAAGTGTGTATGTGTGTGTGTGTGTTCAAATAGAGACATTATCTATGATATAACTTGATGATACGATAGAAAACAGCTCCTGTCATGAAGAAACTCCTGTTCGTTGTGTAAGATTAACATGTATTTATATCTACATAAGCCCTTTGAGTGCTAACCTGCCTTTCTAGGACTATGTTAAGAGTTTTGTTAAGCCAGGCTTGATGAAGCATGACCATACTTCTAATACTTGAGAGGTGGACGCAGGAGTTACATGCTAACTTACTCCTTGTCTCAAATGAAAGAAAAAAAGTTTGAATTAAACTACAGTCAGAGGGAACTTCTTGGAGGCTTTAATCAAAAGAGTGGTATAACTGTAATTATGTTTGGGAAAGATGAATTTGGCAGTGCAAGTAGTAAAAGAGGAAAGGGAGGCAGAGCCTTCCATGGAAGCATGCCAGGCTCTATACACATCTGTGAGTTAAGTCCTTGGAAGCTGAAGATATTCTGGCTTCTGGTTTGAGTCTAGCCTCAAGTCTAGAACAAGCCACAAGAAAAGATGTGATAAATTGAGAATTAGTGAACTATGATTGACTGAAGCTATTAGAGGAAATTAGTGAAGCCTCTCAGATTGACGTTGTTATAATCAGAGGTGAAAGAATATGGTATTAGTAGGTGATAGACCTGTAGAGACTGGACCCTGCTCACTGAGGACTTGTGAGATGCCATCTTATTTTCTTTGCTGCTGTATTCAACATTTTTCTTTTTGAGACAGGGTCTCATATAGCTGGGGCTAGCCTTAACTCCTGATGATTCTGCCTCATCTGGTCTAGTGTAGGAATTTCAGAAAAAGGCTTTTGAAATTCTCTAATCAGGAGAAATTCCAGTGCTTCTTTATGATGAGGTAGGTCTCATGCTTCCTGTGAAATGCACTGAAGGAGTTAACAGACATGATGGAAAGGCGACAGTTAGGAAGAAGCTTTTACCTATTCAGGTTTTTCTTCTGGTGTTTTGCTGGTGTGTATGTCTGCGAACTATACGTGTACAGTGCCTTCAGAGACCAGGAGAGGGCACTAGAGTTCCAGATGGTTGTTAGTTACCCTTCAGGTGCTGGGAATTGAACCCATGTCCTCTGGAAGAGTAGTCAGTGCTTTCAATGACTAAGCAATCTCTACAGCTCTTTGATCATGTTTTGTCAAATAAAAATATTCAATATATTGGCCTTCTATTCTCAGTGGACAGAAAGCTTGTACTTAGTCCTCATTGTCTTGTTTCATGGTATCTTTGTAATACTGATTTTTTTCTTTTAATTGCAAGGTATTTGCTTTTTTTTAAAAAAAGTCTTGTATATTCTAGGGGCTACGTTAAGTATGAGGCCTGCCCCCATCCCAATAGAGGACCCTGAATGGAGACAAACACCTCCCCCAGTCTCTGCTACACCTGGAACCTTCCGACTCCGGCGAGGGAGTAGATTTACTTGGAGAAAGGAGTGCCTAGCTGTCATGGAAAGGTAAGTCTCCCAGACCAATTTCATTTCCAACAAGTAGTCTGAGGTCCAGATTCTAACTCTGCAGATATTATGCACTATTAGTGTTGCTCTGTTGTTGAACTCACAAAGCTGGGGTCAGCATCTGTCGGTCTATTTTACCTACATACAATTTAGTGTTGTCATCAGTACCATAACAGTCTTTCAAGTTAATATTTTTAGATGTGTATCTCTCTATTGTTTTGAAAAAGCTCTGTGAAGTCTTTATCAGTGCTGAACAGTAAAGAAGGGCACTGAGACTCACTTTTTCTGCGAAAGGTGAATGATCTCAATGAATGAATCCCTAAAGGTCTAAAAATATATTTAGCAGAACCTGATCCATATCTGGTTTCCGTACGTTTTGACTGCTTCATGTTTCCCGTCTGACATGGTATAAATACATGCTTAGAGCACCTTGCTGTACTTGTATGTATTCTAATTGTCCTTTGAGTACCCCTCACCCACCCACACCCTTTTCGTAAGTGACATTTATAGGACTGTGATTTGCTGGAGATGTTGACAGGCAGCAGGGCCATTCTTATCTAACCTGACCACTAGTGTCTATGGCATCCTGGACAGAACACTTGATGTGAATTCAGAAGTACCAAAAGCTGATCAGGTCAGAGACCAAAATTGTATCTTCCTGTCTGTAAAATGAAAATGTCTGTAGCCAGCAATATGTTATCCAGGGTGTTTGCCATCTCTCTTTCACCTACGTCATTGCTGTTTCCCAGTGCATTGACGTCACTGCTAGAGTGGAAGTTCGGATGACATAAGTGAAGTAAATAGATGGACAAAATGGAACTGTCGGTTATCCACTGCTGTGAAGTACTCTCACGCACTCTTGACTGTGGCTAAGATTGGAGTCACGTGTTTAATAATGAACCCTGACTGACTGTAATGAAAGGGGGGGACTCATGTTCTGGGGATCTGATTACAGTCTGCTTCATTTCTCTCATCTGTAAAGGTTGATTCTTTCTGAAAGTTTGTTTCAGAATTTCCACATAGCAGATGGAAATGAAAATAAGCAGAACTTAAATTATTCACAGCATTGTGTATTTTCTTCTGGGTAACACAGTACATTTTGATACTACTTTGTGCCTAGTATGGGTTCTCATTACAGTATTAAAGTACATTTATCACATAGTGTCTATGAAAAGAATTAAACATTAGAACATGAAAAAAATATGTAACATTCTTCATGCGTTTTAAGAATTGAACCTCAGCACCTCAGAGACTAGGTTTCCCTTCTGAAATTTTCTTCCAAGGCAGCAACAGCCATCTGTAGAACCACACTGACTAAACTTTAGACAAAAAAACATATAACATTTTATCTTTTTGTAAGGTTTTTATTTAGTTCTAACATTTTTAACTTCAAGTGTAATTAATAAATACCTTTACCCTAGGACTTAGTTTTCCCTGGCATCATTTCATCTTAACCTGGCACAACTAGAGAGGGTGTGGCTCAGGGTTGAGTTCTCAGAAATGCTGAAAGCCTTTCAAAGCATCAAGTAGCAATTGTCTCGATGATCTGCATCCTCCAAAAATGGAATTTTGTATTCTCAGAAGTGGAACATAAAATCCCCTGGCCTTCGAGTAACATGCTATGCTTTTTAGCATACCTGAATGTTTGTATAAATACATAGCCCAGCCAAGTAAGCCATATGCAAATATGTTAGTGTAGGATAAAACTAAATCTATTCCATTCCTCACACCGTATAGGAAGATAAATTCCAAATCAATTAGAGAAGTGAATTCATATACATGGAAGAAGAAAACATAGGGTATCCCTTCATATCTTGGAAATAGGAGAGATGTTTTCTAACTGAGCTTCATAATCCAAAAACAGAAAGGAAATGATGGATAAATATAAATGGAAAGAATTGCTGGGGTAAAATTAGGCAAAATAGTAAAATAAGTTGGAATAAAATATTTGCAACTTGTATCACTCTTAATATGTAAAGAGTTCCTAAATGAAGCAAGACTAACAGCCCGAGAGAAAGATGGCTAAAGTGAGCAGCACAAAAGTAATGCAAAAGCCTTTTAAGCACATGCAGAAGTCCTAAAGTTATTGTTACTATTACTTGCTTTGGTTTTTTAGAGACTGTCTGATTTTAGCCCTAATGGATTTGCCCTTTGGAACAGCATTCCTGTTTCCAGAAAATCATATCAAAGATATACTGACCGAAATAAAAAACAAAACAAGAAAACCACTGTTATATAGATCAGAACACTGACAACAGCCAGAATGTTGTCAGTAGAGGTCTGGATGAGTAAATATTAAAAACAAAGAGGCCATAGACATGACTCAGCAGGTAAAGCACTTACTGTGCAAGCCTGGCAACCTAATTTCAATCCCTGGAACCTAGATAAAGGTGGAAGGAGAGAGATACCGCCACAAAGTTGTCATATGAACTCCACACACATGTGTAAATGCACTTAAATAAACAAAAAGTAACTTCATTGACATAGAGCTCACTTGTTGAAAGTGTATGTTTTAAAGCCTTGAATATATCTGTAGTCACACAACTGTCACCACATCTGCTTTATTATGTCCCTAGAACCTTGGTGTCTAACAGAGGTTACCCTCCTTTTCTCTCATCTGTTTTTAATTCTGTGTAACCATTAATGTGTGTACAAACTTACCTGCTCTGGACATTTTCATATTATGAGTGAAATATAGGAAGCTAGGTGAGGGGGCTGTTAGAATACCCTGGGCCTGAATGTCGAGGGCCTAAATGACAGTTAAAAAAAAAAACCAGAGGGATAAGATATAAATAGAAGGCACAACTATCAGAAAGGAATCTGAAGAAAGGTGGAATATAGCTGTAGGTTGAACGTGGGAATGACAGCAGCAAGAGCATAAAAAGAGCTTAGCTTGGTGATGATGAGGGCACTCACCAAGGAAAGTGTGCCATTAGAAAATGGATTGGCCCTAGACTCCAGTACTTATGTTTATAAAGTGAAGATTTAAGTGTAATGATAGAATAAAGGAAGATAAACTTGAGAATCAGACAAGGTTTGATCCTGCCTCTCACCCAATCCTCTTATTGAATCAATGGAACCTTAGGGCCTTGGTAAGTTGAGATGTGAAGGTTAATGGAGATAAGTATTAAGCAATAGTAGAATGCCTCCCTGGTAGTTAGTGCAGAGAGTGTGTGTTTTCAGAGTTAGCTTGTTCCAGCATTAAGTATGAAGTTACCTGAGATGACTCTGAGAAAATTGTCATGGCCCTGGAAATAGAAATGCTATCATTACGTTATTAATGGCTCAAGCTGCAGGTACAGGTGATGTCTGGTTACATCTTTCAACTTACACAGTTTCTGCGGGTTTTTTGCAGCTAAATGTAGCTAGAAGAAACCCTTAAAACCCTGCTGATTTACCTCATTTTAAATTCATGGTCATGAACCTCAAGTAGATCTTTAATTCTGTCAGGCACTCATACTTGTCTTCCTGGCTCGCTCTTTCCTCTTTCTTAAAATTATTTTACACTTTATTTTCTCTCTGAGAGCTCCTCAACCTCTTTCTGTTGTAGTGACCCTGCTTTACATTTGACTGAGAAAACCAAAGCACTCACAGGAGAATGTCCACAAACTATGGCCTGCTAGCATGTACGCTCATGTGCAGAGAATTGTGCCTTACCACATCCAGAGCAGATCAATGCTGTATTTTCCCCAGTACTTATCACAGTGTTTTTCTTATAGTAGATGGTCATTATAAGTTAACATGTTATGAATGTTGCTTTTTTTCTTAGCTTACATTAATGCATTCTTTATCCTATGTTCATGACTTTTCCAGTATTGACTCCCAGAAACATTGATTATCACAAGGGGCAATATTATGTGGTTCTATTTATAGGGATATCCAGAAGAATCTAATCATTAGAAAAAGATTATGCTTGGTATTTGCTCACACTCGGGAAGATAGAGGCCCGAGGGCCAGGAAACAGCTGAGGAGCATATCACTTTTATGAATATACTCAAACGTTTCAAATATGTAAATTGTTACACATGTGAGCCTCACCTCAGCAAAGCTGCACATTAAAAAAAGGAAGACATCATTAGAAGCATCCCCTGTTTGACCCCACAGTTGATCCTCATTGTGGTCCTTTTCCAAATGAGGGAACCAAGGCTCAAGGGGGTTAGATGGCTTCCTAAGGCCATAAATCCAGTGACCAGCTGAGCTACATGTGTCTCTCTAGACAGTGTTAATTGTGTATAAGTCCTATTCCTTGAAAAGAAAGGCATTTTCTTCTAGGGGTATGCAGTTGCTCTTAGCACGTGAACTATGCCTTGGTTAGCCCAAGTCGTATGCCCCTGGATTAACACCTCTTTCAGCTTTCTGTTTGGCTAAGAACATATAAAGGTTTTAATGGGGAAAAGATGCAGCACAAATTTTAATGATATAATTGGTTGAACCACAGAAACATGAGGAATCACAGGTTTATTCTATTTGTGTAGATTGGTCATATTTCCTATTTAGAACAGTATTTGTTGTCTTCAAGATTTGACTATTTAAATAGAGCTTAGAATGACATTATTGGATAATCTTAGATCAGTAACTTATTAAACTTTTACTGTGTATTAGCACTAAGCTACGCTTACCTCAGGGGTTTATATATTCACCAGATGGAAAAATGTTAACTATGTTGTACACTTGAAAGGCCTACATCTGTCCAAGAAGATAACGTGAGACACATAATGAGATCTCCATTCCAGAAAGCTGTCCCTTCACTCAGTCAGTCAGTCAACTGCTTCCTGGTAGAGAGGCAGTGCCTGGCAGAGAATTTAGAAACAGTTTGCAGTGGAAGAAGGTCATGAGCAGGCTGGATTTGAATTCTGGAGGATTGCAGCCAGGGCCCAGGATACTCTTTTCCTAAGCATCTGTCAGGAACCTGGCCTTGGTGTTCCTTTTGAAACAAGTGTGTCTCTGGAGTATTAGGGTCTGTGACTGGAATACAGAGAATGACCTGGCTATTGCTCCTA